CGGACATGGTGGCGCATGCCTATAGTCCCAGCTACTTGGGAGGCTGAGGCAGGAGGATTGCTTGAGCCCAGGGGTTGGAGGTTGCTGTGAGCGAGGCTGACGCCACAGCTCTCTAGCCCCGGTGACAGAGCCAGACTCTGTCAATAAATAAATGAACAAATAAGTGAATACATACATACATACATACATACATGCTGAATTCAGGACCGAGGTATTTGCAATTGCGTTGGAATGCAGCGCAGAACCTCTGATAACGAGATAAATCTGTGTTGTAGAGAATAATAAGACGGTGGAAAAACTCGAATGCTTTGTAAACACGTGAAATGAGGCCGTTTCTTTCCATTGATAACACTCTTTAGAGGATGTAATTTTTTTTTCAGCTGCATCTTTTTCATATCTGTAGGTTACGAATATGCGCCCAAAAAATGTGACGGTGTTTCGTATGCTCCAGCCACTCACCCGGGGGGCTGGGGAGGGTTTTGAATGTATAGGTTGATACTGCGTTTGATTAACTCAACGTTTAAAATATGGTTCGGATTAAGTCGGAAATCAGTTGGAGGTACAGCTTATTTAACGTAATGGGAAGTAGAGATTCATTCCCAGGTAGATACAATTGTATCGGCCGACTCTGGAAATGATTGGAACGTTATTCTTTTTTATTAACTGATGAACAGCAGAGACCTCTCTTATCTCCCTAAAACCAGAGTGAATCTGTTTATGTTGAATTTAAACGCAACAGTCTGTGTAGCTGCCACGTGACGTCCTGAACAGAATGAGGTGTCGCCTGGTATTGCTGAACAGAAGGAATTGAATTATACTCGAAGTGTTAATATTTTGGGGTTGTTCTCTAAGTTCAGAGATGCCAGCAAGCTGAAGCCCGTCGGCTTTCTGTAAGGGGTGCCCAGTCGGATTTTGCTCATTCGTTTTTGTTTTTTTTTTTTCAAATAACGTTGTCCTTTCCAAGCTAATACGGGCTGTGCTTTGCCTCCCCCTATTCTCAAGGCACCTTGATGGAGCTGGGAATATCTCCCATCGTCACCTCCGGCCTCATCATGCAGCTCCTGGCCGGAGCCAAGATCATTGAAGTCGGCGACACCCCCAAAGACCGAGCTCTCTTCAACGGCGCCCAAAAGCGTAAGAAAGAGCGTGAATCACGTTCTGACGTCTGGAGCTGAGAATTTGAATGTGCTGTCAAGGTTGGGGCATCCAGACAGGTTTTGGGTGCTGTGACCTCCCTGGGCCACCAGCCTGCAGGCGCTTGGTGGCCTGTGTTAGAGCGAGACAGCACCTTGGGACAGCAGAGGGTCTGGGCGCCAGGCGTGGGCCGGGCAAGGCGGGGCCGAGTGTCCGCAGCGCCCCGAGGCCACGTGATGGGGGGTGGAAGGAGCAAGGCTTGGAGATGTCCCCGTTGTCACTTACAGGGAACATCTGCTTCAGAGCTGTCTTTAGGATCTAAGTGAATAATCACTTTCACAGAACCTGGTACATGTAGATGTTTGGCAAGTGTTTTTCTTTGGGAGTTTTTGGAAGAGTTTAACGGAAGAGAAGGGTGGTTGCCTCAGCCCAGCTCTGCTGTGCACCAGCTTTGTGATTTGGGGGAAGGTTAGAAGACAGCTCTGAAGTCTCTGTTCCTTTACCTGTGAATATTTTATGTAACAAAGTAGAAAAACTGAAACTGATGTAATCCTAGCACTGTGGGAGGGCGAGGCGGGCGGATTATTTCAAGTCAGGAGTTCGGGACCAGCCTGAGCAAGAGCGAGGCCCCATCGCTACTAAAAAATAGAAATTAACTGGAAAAAAAAGTTTAAAAACAAGTTAAAAGCCCCAAAAATATTTTTAAAAATACAAAAAAAAAAGTAACAAAAACAAAACCT